TGGATTAACTTAATTTTTTCATAAATTATATTTACAAGGCTCTATAAAATAAATGGTTCAAATTATTAAAACTAAACCTATGGTGAATTCTACAAATCTGAACATAATGATCAAGTTTAAAACCAAATATTTTTTAATTATATTTATTGTTCATATTTTTTTAAAAAATTTTGATAACTGTATATTACATTTCTAAGATGCTAGTGATCCTTAAATTTTCAACTTTTGAAATTAGAACTAGTAAATAGTTAATTACCTAACTTTTGCATTAACAATTTTATTTATGAGGTTGCTTTTAGAGCCAACATTTTAGGCTGTTTAAATAAATAGTTGAATTTTTTTCATTAATATCAAAGACTGGGAAAGTTGGACAATTTAGGCCAAGTTTGGGTACTTCTAAAAAAGTTAAAAAGTTAAAAAGTTACTCAAAAAGTTAAAAAGTTAACACTATTCACCAAAAGTCAACAATTACGGTTGCACAACTCCAAATTCAAATTTTTTCCTACAAATCAATTTTTACAATTTTTTATTACACATTTTTCAATAAAAAGTCAAAAAGTTAACTCAAACATCCATATTTTCAACCTCAATTTTTTAGTCCAAAAAGACAAAAAGTACACTTTTTTAGTCTTTCCAAACTTGGCCTTAAGTACAATAGTTACTATCTATATAAACAAATCTTATCAAAATAATAAATAAATAAAATTAAGAATATTGTTGCCAAATATTCATGGGAGTGTATTTTTTTTTTTTTTATCATAGATAAATATTTTTATATTTCTAATATATGTACTATCTAAAAAAGATATATAGATTGCTATTGGTACTATTTTAACATGGAATGAATCGAGCTTTGTTTACCCACTTGATAGATTGGTAAATAAATTTTTTATCCCTAATTAATTAAAACAATAGAGTCTATTAAATGAAATCAGCGCCACTATTTTAACTAATCTCAATAGAGGATTTTGTAAATAATGTGTGAACAAAATTAATTTCCTATGAAAAGGAATTGAAAATTCAATAATGCTACGACAACTCTATTTGTGTATTATATTTTATTTATCATTTTATATATTATTGTATTAATTGAATGAATCTTACCATTTGGATAATATTAGAAATATCAAATTTTTTACTAAATGAATAATTATGTGAGACATTTAATCATTTATTTGGTAGAAAATTTAGAATTTGTAACATTTTTCATATAACATTATTGTTGAGAATTAATGACAACTTTGGCCTCGTTTGGGAACTCTCATTTTTAGTCAAAAAGTCAAAAAATTATTAAATTAGCTAAAAAGCCAACAACTCATATCAAAAAATTAAAAATTCTCTTTTTTCTCTACTTTTTGCACATCTTTTCGTAAAAAACTAAAAAGTCACCTCAAATATATTGGGCTCGTTTGGTTTGATTTTCTGAAAAAAATTTGGGAAATTTTCTCTACAAATAAGTTTTCAAAAATAACCAAACCAAACAAATTTTCCCAAAAAAATTTCCCAAAACTTGTAAACCAAACAAGTTTTCCAAACAAATCTCTCTCTCACACACATCAAATCAATCACTTTTTCCAAAACTCTATCTCAAAATAATTTTTCAAAACATTTTAAAAAAAAAACCAAACCAAACATGTTTTCGTACTTTTTATCTCTAAAACACATCTCTCAAACACAAACCAAACATACCCATTAATTTTTTTAACTCATATTTTAACTAAATAACTAAAAAATTGTTAATTAATCTGTTCCCAAACGAGGCCTTTGACTAATGTCCAAGTGTAAATGTTGGTGCTATTTTAGTGGTGAGCTAGTGCTTTGTGGTCATTTTCATCACTAAAGATCCTCTAGAGTGAAATTTTCCTAAAATTTCCTAGAGTGTTACATTGTGTGGTTGAGATTTACTGGCAAGTCACAACAATTTTTCTGATGTGACTTGCCAGTAAATCTCAACCACACAATGTAGCACTCTAGAAAATTTTAGGAAAATTTCACTCTAGAGGATCCTTGCTCCATTTTCATTTGTTAGATTGTCCTTAGGGTAGGTAACATCTATCTTGGCCCCATAGTAGATTACTAAAAAAGTGCACTTATTTCATCTTTTTATCTTTTTTGGGTCACATCAATCAACATCTCCTCTCTACTTTTTCTACACATAATACAAGAAAAGTCAAAAAGTGCACTTATTTAGTCTTCCCAAACTTGACCAGTTGGAATAAAATCAACAAAATAATAATAATAATAATAAAAATAAAAAATCTTTTGTGGTGGGTTAGACCTCCTATTCAATCATCCTTAAATTTTCAATCTTGCTTTAGTCTTTAATCCAAACACAATTAAGGGGTTGTTTGGAGTGTCCTAAATAAGTATATTTTTTATCTTTTTAGACTAAAAAATTAAGGAAAAAAATATAGATTTTTGGGTTAACTTTTTGACTTTTTATGGAAAAATGTGTATTAAAAAATTGTATAAATAAGTGTATAGGAGAAGTTAGTGATGGAATAGGTCGTATGGTCGGAAGCGTAAGAGGCAGCGTGGCAGAGGGTAGGGGTAGGAGATTGATTCTCTCATTTTCAAGCATAAATTGGACGGTGCTGTTCGGCCCATGGGGGCCCACCATGAGTCTCGTTTTGATAATCGGAACCGTTCAATGTGTAGAACTGTCAAGTACTATATGCTTATAAAAAATCACGTTGATTGGATATCAATAGCTATCTGATCGTGTTAGTTTTTCTTGTCAACTGTTAACGATGACACCATTTATTTTTTATACAAAACTGATTTGATCATATAGTTACCGATTTTCTATCAACATGATTTTTTACAGGCATATAATTCTAGACAAGTTCTACATATTGAACGGTTC